TAAAAGCCCAACGTTTTCAGAACACTCATTGGAAAATAATTTGGTGGACCATACAATGACTAGTCCACATAATATCTGATTATATATTTTGAAGAAAATTATGGATTGTCCATTTAGTAAACAGGCTATTTAGCTTTTTTTTAGATTTTTATTGATGTGTTTGTGTATGTGTACAATATGCACAACTACATGCAGATGCCCACAGAGACCAGAAGAGGGGTCAATTCCTTTGAAATTGTTTAAAAATATGGAACCTGTCACAAATTTGTGTGTCAGTGTTGCACAGGGGTCATGCTAATCTTCTCTGTGTTGTTCCAAATTTAGTATACATACTGCTCAAGTGAGCACAAGACTATTTAGCTTTTTTTTGGTCTTTTTGAGACAGGATCTCCCTGTAGCCCCAGCTGACCTGGAACTCACTACGTAGACCAGGCTAGCCTTGAATTCACAGAGATCTGCCTGCCTCTGCCTTCCGAATGCTGGGACTAAAGGTGTGCACCACCACACCCAGCAGCTATTTAGCTTTTTTAAAGTTATTTTTTTTCTTTTGGATAATAGAAGTGATAAAATTTGGAAATAATTTAGTCAGTTATATTTTCTAGCCCCCTGCCTCCCCCATGTGTGACAGCAAGATCATACAGTCTTTGTTTAAAAAATGATTGAGATACCTGAATAAATAGCTTTCGTAGCTCTGTGTCCTTCACAAACAGCAATTCCAGTACATACTCGACATGAACTGGTCACTGGGGTTGAGTAGCTCCCAGCATGGCAAGTCCTGGAACTATGACTTGTGTTCTAATAGCTTCATCTGTCCTCACGGCATGGCTCAATGAGTCACTCAATCAGCTTCTGTTCATACTGACCCCTCCTCACCTCTTCCCTGTAAATCCTAGTTACCTGATTTTGTTCATGTATCTAGGTACAATATATCAAATGCAGTTTCTCCTCCTTTCTTCCTCAGGATGAAGAGTCTGTTGTTTGAATTCTCATGAAGTAAAGGACTTTGTAGTCACAGACACTAGTACAGACCTGAGCTCTGCTACTAACTGGCTAGCCCTGGGTAGGCTGCCTTCTCTCACTCACAATTTCCCTACTGAAATCACTTTGAAAATTTGTTGTGAAGATTAAATGGAATAATATATTAAAAATAACAGCACAGGAAGCAGAAATGTAAGAACCCTTCCTTTACATGGACTGGGTATGGATGGCTTCTATGGAAATGCCTGGTTTCTTGGTAGTTCCATGCTCTCTACACAGAATCTGACACTGGGTTGTATTTATCTCTGTATCCTTCCAGAACCAATGCGGTAAGTACTGAACTCTTGGGGTCTGGGAATGGAGCTCAGCTGGTAGACTGCTTGCCTAGCATGCAGGAATCCTTGGATTCAATCCCTAGCACTGCATTAACTGAACATGGTGGCCCACACCATAACTCCAGAACTTGGGTGATGGAGGTGGAAGGATCAGAAGTTTAAAGCAATCCTTAGTCACATAGCAGGTTTGAGCCAGCCTCTGGACTACATGAGCTCCTGCCTCAAAATGAATGAATGAATGAATAAATAAATAGATAAATAAACAAATAAAAAGTATTCAACTGTCATCAATAAGTCCATATGACATTTGCTATAAAATCTAGTTTCAATCTAGATGCTCCAATTTCTTGAATTTTGCAGCTGTGTGGCCTGGACATTTACTTGATCTTTCTGGACTTAAAATGTCATAGTACCTAACATACTGGGGCTAGTAGTTATTTTTTTTCTTCCCCATTCAATGGCTCATCTCTCCTTACTTAGTTTTAAGAGTATTATCTATAAGCAAGCCAGAAACTAAGCGTGATAATAGGAACAGAGCATATTTTTTAACAGAAAATAAGTGTGTCACACAATTTGAGGAAAAAAGCTCTGCCCATACCAACACTGAGGAGGACGCTGAGAAATAGATTCAGCTCTCTTCGTGTATGGCTCTGTCACATAATGCTGACAAACTCCAATGGAAAAATGAAAAGAGAACACCAGGAGGGCCCAAGAGACCTGGAAATCGATAGAAGGCAAAACTGCCCCCAAATTTAGATGCAGTAAGTTCTGAAACTTTAAAAGCTTTTGCTTTCATCTCTATAAATTATGCAAATTCTATAAATTCTCTCAGTGAGCCAGTAAAGGAAAGAGAAGAAACTTCAGACCTTTATGTATGCTGGATGATAGTCATCTGATTGTGAGCCAGGGGTGGTGGTGCCCACTTGTAACCCCAGCACTGGAGAAGTAGAGGCAGGAGGATTAGGAGTTCAAGACCAACCTGAACTACATGAGACTGTGTCTCAAAAAATAAAGCATGAGAATTCTAATGGCATAAACATCAAAAGAAAATCATCTAGTCATATATACCATGCACTAAAGAATACACAAAACCTCTAACATATCCTCTGAGTTCTGCTTTCTGGAAGTAGCTCTTTCTCCATTTAAGAAACTTCTTCCTTTTTCACTTTGTCCTGTAGTTATTTCTATTTTGAGAGCTGTCTTCCCTGTTAGCCTGTAGCCTCCTTAAAGGGCAGGGACTGAATCTTATCCTGTGGCCCTCACATCCCTGATGAATTCTTCTCACTTCCTGAAGTCTCTTGAAAGGTGCTTGTCACAACTTCCATGTGCTGGAAGCACTGGGTGCTGGTTGAGCATGCAAATACACAGAGACAATCCAAGGGGGTTTGGCAAATTTGAGGTGGGGCTTAGGAATATATATTTCTAAAAGTGCCAAGGTGATTTTTGACAACCTCCTGAGAAAACCTAGCCTAAACTGTGTATAATCAAGTGCAGGACAGACATCCTACACAAACCCAAAGGCTGGTAAATTAAAGGCAGGTGACACAATGTATGGCCACCAAGAAAGGCCTTCAAGACTAACAGGAATCTTAAGTGATAACAGTTTCTTAGAGTGAGTCATTTAAAGTTACACAACAGCACTACATAAGAAGTGTAGCTAGAAGGAGCATCTTCCGCAGAGCCCTCTCTGTCAGCAGGCACAGGTTGGCCTCTCTCATGCACTTGCCCATTCTGGGAAACCCAGGATGTGAAAAGATCAGCAACTCAACAGGAACCAAGTCATACAAGGAGCTTTAAACTCTGGAACACTATATTAAAGGGAAAGAAAGAAGTCAACCAATAATGTATTTCTGAGAAGCACAATGTAATTTGAGGTGGGCCTTCAGTGTGGTGTCTTCTGAGAGTCACTTACACTACTTCATCTTCTCATTTGGCCTTCCACTGCTCCACATAACAAGATTTAAAATGAATTTGCCAGTAAACTCTCCCAAGACTGTTTGTGCAGTCTTTACATGATCCCTTTATCCAATGACTTTGGCCTAAGCATAAAAATCTAAGAAGCAATGCTGCCAGTCATTGTGGTCTCTGGAGCCAGATAACCAGGGACAGTACCCAGGTCTAGTGCTCCTGTGCAACTGAGTCAGTGCTTTAGCGTATGCAACTTCCATATTGGTAACATGAGAATAATTATATCTGTCTCATAGGGTTCTTGTGAACATTAAAGGAACAAGCATATGCTAAGCCCTTATAAGAGCTCCATATATCATCATCATCGTCATCATCATCACCATCACCACCACCACCATCCATTTCAAATATCCAAGAGCCCCTCACTGTAATATTTCAGTTTATAACTTATCAATAGTGAATTTATATAGAAAGAATTTAGGAAGTGGGTTCTGATTTAGCAATTTGCTTTGATTTAAATCTTACTCACTTTAATGATGTTAAACATTCCCCTCTTAAAATATAACAATATTATGGGAGTAGCCAACCACTTTCTGATTGAATTTAAGTCCTGCTCCACAGGAGGGAAAACATGCTGGTTATAGCAAATATGGCCAAGGACCAGTTGGGGAGCTCACAGCCCCAGAGGTGAACCTACTATTATTATTTTGCTAAATGGACATCACACCAAACCTCTATAAATTTGTATCTCTCTGCTCACAGTAGTTTAGTGCATCTCTCAGAACTCATCAGAGAAGTTTCTTTGTGCAGTGTATGGTGTTTAACACAGAAGTTTTCAACTGGCCAATGTGCAGAGAATAAGTGACTGTGGAGTGCTCAGCACAAATGCCACATCTATATGTCCCGCACATAGGCTCAGGGAGCATCAAAGAAGAGATGGTGGAAAGACTGTAAGAACCAGAGGTCAGGAAGGATGGGAGTCAAATGGTGTCTTCTGGACCTGACAGGACCTCTGTACTCAGTAACTCACAGCAGCTGTGGTTGTACAAGACCTGCACAAGATCAAGTCAGCCAGAATTCTAGCATGGAGGGGGAAATGGACATGAGCCCCCTACCCCTAGCTGAGGAGCTATTGACACTTGATGGCTTCTGGGAGAGGAAGAGACACTTTCCTTTAAGGGTATGGCTCCTGGTAGGCTGGCCATGCTCTAGTGGATGGCCCTGCACCCATGAGTATATGGATAACACAAATTGGACTTGGTAGGTTATAAAAGAAAAAAAAGGACAGGAAATTGAGAGGGGTGAGAGATGTATCCGGAAGGACTTACAGGGAGGAGAGGGGGGTAACTGAACAAAATACATTGTATGCCTGTATGAAATTACCAAAAACTTAATAAAAATATTTTTAAAAGGAAAACCATATTATAAAGGTACAAAGATGAAAAGTTCTTTCAAAATTAATGTTGGATTTTGAGGACATGAGGCCAAATAACACTAAACAAAGCAAGTGCACTTTGGAGAGGCACATACAGAACAGCTCACATTTCCCAGCATCTGCCACAATAGAGCTGGAACAAGCAAGCAGCATATACTGTCAGTCAGGAAAGGGTCACAGTGATTAATCTGCTCTCGGATGTTTTCCAACAGTAGCTCGAGAAAGACTGGAGGGCAGAGAGAGCCCAGCTTGTCCTCCTCTCCACCGCGTCACAGTGGACTTGTGATGACAATTCTTGTTTTATTTGAATGTGCTTCTTCTTTTCTTCTTTTATCCTTTTTTTTTTTTTTTTTTTTTGGTCTTTTAGAGACAGGGCCTCCCTATAGCCCCAGCTGGCCTGCAACTCACTATGTAGACCAACCAGGCTGGCCTTGAACTCACAGAGATCTGCCTGCCTCTGTCCCCCAAGTGCTGGGACTACAGGCATGCACCACCATGCCCCGCTTGAATGTGCTTCTTAAGGAAGCTAAAGGGCTGAGTGCAGCTCAATGAAAGAACAATTGGCTAGCAGATGTAAGGCCATGGGTTTGATCCTCAATACTGAAAAATAAGATAAATCTCTGGAAATCCACCATTTCACTAAGAGACTCATAGTTTGTATATTCAGGGTTTGTAACTGGCAATTCCAACTT